CAGATCGTTACATACACACATTAGTAATCACTAATAATCATGCAAATATAATATAAATATTGCATTCATCTTAAGATACATACATGCATATATAAAAGCATTTGCGTGTATTTGTAGACCCACACATGTGGCGCATTCTTCGAATGCCCACGGAGAGCCTTTCTGATATGGTCTCCAGCCGAGAAGACTGTATTGATCAGATGCGCATTTAGTTGACGTCCAATTGAGACGAGCCGCCTATTATGGCCTGACTGGATGATAATACTCTGCCCGGACAACTTTTGCCACTTTTGATTGCTCGGTTTTGTAGAAACTAGCGGATCTACTAAATGCAGAACTATCTATATTACTTTTTCTGAACGGATACTTCCGTGAGTTAACAGGTATCTTGTAGCTACGGTTGTCTCTTTACATTGTCTAATGAATCCGCTTAGTTGGCTTAATTAGGATATAAATAAAGACACTACAGTTTTAATGTATGTTGCCATAAATTTTCATCTAAGTGATAACGTTTCGCTAAGAAAAAATTAACTCGAGTAGATTGGGCACCCTAATAAAACCACTTTACCTGTTTCTAATAGCTTAACATCGGTAATAGAGATGAAATTTGTTGTGCTGTGTCCATTTAGTTTTATTATTCTGGTTCCACATTCAATTGGCATAGCTTTTGGGATTTGGCTTGAGCAGAAGATGAGACTATTCTTCCAACCAAGAGTTTATATCGTCAACAGATAAAAGGATCAATAGTTAAGCGGTTTATTAAGAAGATGTGTTTGTAGATAGCGAGTTAGTCATGAAAATAGGCGCGTGGATAAGTCAGTAAGTGTTAAGCAATGTTCGTTTACAGGTATAAAAGTAGGCCACGATTCAGATAGGTAAATAAGTGAGCATGTTAATGGATTGTTAAGTTAGTCGTTATGTTACTAGGGCGACATGTAAGTGTCCAGGAGGTGTAGACCGAAGGACGAGAGGTAGAGTAAGGAGGGCTTAATTTGGCATCATGAAAATCATATTCCTCGATTTCATAGGCTAGTTTACATTTCACAAAGTGGCTAAGCAGTAGCAGGATGGTACATTAATGGTCACCGGGCAGATTGTGGAATGCACTTTGAAGTAAGCTATGCATTTATATGAAATGCATTCACCCTCTTTCGTTTAAGGTGATAAAAGTCTGGCAGTTTTAATCGAAACCCTACTTATAAACTAAAAATAAGTAGTGCAGTCGATTTTTATAGTAAATATAACTTTGCTATATTAGCAATTCCACCAAAGAATATGACATGGGATAATGTCTGGCCTTCCTTGAAATTCACATCTGCCCTGTCACCCAAGGGCACCTGTGGCAATGTGGCGTGATGGTTAACGTGTCGAGATTACACACTGCACTGGCATGGTTCGAGTTCCGCTGGCACCGTTGCTAAGACCTAGGCGAAGTCGAGACTTCAGTCCATCCTGGATGAAAAGACATTTTGGGATAGCAAGGCTATGTGAAATTCTATAGCACCGTCAGCTCTACCCATAAATTATCAAAATTCGATTACCAGTCCTTCATTACCTTAAATGAAATTGATTGAATACATTTCATAACTGACTTACTAGTAGACTCGAAACCATAACAGAAAATTTAAAATAAGCTAACTATTTTCCTGTAATCCGAAATTGCTTGTACAAAAAGGATAATACATTCCACAGATGAAAAAAGCTTGGTCTTTCAAACATCACAGGATAATTTAAAGTGACTCATTTAAAAGGGAAAGTTAGTTAGACGCGATTTGCGAATTAGCCTCACTGGAAAACGAGTGAAGATTGTTCTAGTGTGGAGGACGTTCGTATTGTGCAAAAATGTCCACGGCTCACCGTCTTGCGGACCTTCCACTCGTAAAAGATATCGTCAAAGCGAACATACACCAACTACGAAAAAAGCGCTTTAGTTTAACTAAACCAAGATAAGGGTGACCGGTTACAGGCCTACTCACTCCTTGTAGCTAATTTTGCAACCGAAATGAGGCATATCGTGATATATGGTTGACTAATTTGCCATTTGACAACACGATTTAATGAGGTTTTAATAATTCATTTAGCCAATGAATAGACCAGATGGAATATTGAAGTTATTATGGAGTTGGAAAGGTATGATAAATTACCATTTGTAGTTATCCTAGGGAGTAAAGAGGGAACTAAAGTGTGTTTAGGAGACCCACACGCTCAGTTTTTCCTCTTACTTTCTTTTATAATCATGCACAGGATTAAATGAGGGGTTATTGGATTGATGATAAAAAATGGTTTGCGTCTAGCAGATATAAAGCACTGGGAGCATAATAAGGGAATATTGAGGATTATTTTAGGTAATGAAAATCATCTCATAGGATTAATAGGCATTTGCTTTTCAATAATAATAAATAGAACGCGGGAAACAGCAGTTTAGTAAAAATAGACAGTTATACCGTTCTACTCATTTCTTAATGTTGCCGTTTCATCAGATTTCGAAAAAGTAGGTGGAAAATTGGGTCAAAGTATAGAGAGAAAATAACATTTTCTTTACTTGTGCCTTCTTTTCGGGCATTTTTTGATCCTCTTTTTAGGTCGGCATGCTAAATTGTTTCGTGATCGTGTAGTAGTAGCTGTAGTCTAAGCACCAACAAATTGCAAAAGTCTAATGGTTTAAAATCGGAACTGGCCAAACACAACGCGAATATAGGCGACCGGCTGCAAGGGCTTCACATCTGGGCGTGAGATTAGAGATCCCACATCGTGAGTGGGAGAATCGAGTAAATAAAACTGAGTATATGTGGCTTTTGGAGTGGATTGAGTAGAGGGAGAAGGACGAACCAATGAGCAAGCTAAGGCTCCAATGGCCTGGAGTCTAGTTAGGGCTATCATACCTCACATGACTCGCAAATGCATGCATACAATGTACAATATCATGTGAGTCAACATTAGAGGATCCTAGGCTTTTTGGGGCTTCCACTTTAATGGACAAGTCTCGGGTCGGCATTGAACGCGATCCTTCAATAAAGGTTATCCGGTTTCCTTCAGCTTGGCAACTTCCACTCAGAACATAAGAATAAGCTAACTTTGAAGCCCCTTGGAAGATGCGTTTTTTTCTGTGAGCTTCAAATGTCTTTTCTTTGAAAACATG